AGTTCTTCTTTCGAAAATGTGGACATGCAGTAGTTTTATTTTTGAGCGTTCTTTGCAAATATTTGAATTAGTAATTCTTTTCTCGTCCAAAGACTTTTAATGTTTTTGCAAAACAGACTGTCTTGCAACGGAAAATATCTTAGCATAGGCAAAAACTGTGCCAACACAATGAAATAGAGATAGAATGGCAAAAAAGAATTGAATAACTTGCACTTTCTTAATTAAAGTGCCCATGACGCATACAGAGAAACACATTAACCAACTTGTACAGATGTAAGCCATTAACCTCTGTCTTGTGACTTTGTTTCGATGGTATACATGAAATACGATGCTCAAAACCTTTCAATATTCATGCAAGACAGAACAGACACAGAAGAACCTAAGTATATATAGTGGATAATAAAGTTAGCATGAAATAAATTGCAATTCACACTGAAGTTCGAGACTGATGGTAAGACTGTTAAGAAGAACAAAATATTAACCAATGTCCCATTTATGAGATCAACAATTGACTGAAGAAAAACTAGGAAATAAAGTGTATTCCTTTTCAGATGACTGGATGATAGAAAAGTTAAGACGGTGACAAGATTCAAAGTAATGGTAAGCAAAGTAAATAAAGAACTACTGCTAAAGCAAGTACATAGTTGAAGTATAACCCAATGTTTGGGGTATTGGAAAGAACAATAAAAGCAGTCTCATGAATAAAACAGAAATGATTTGACTCATTTAAAGAAGAATCCATAATTTGCTGCTATCCACAATACAAACCAATATTTTGTTTGTTTTTTGTTAATTCTCTTTGCTAGCTCAAGATATGCAAACCGAGTTTGTTCCCTCACGTTAAAGTTGAAGAGGGTAACTAAACATCCAACGGCTACAAATAGTGCAACTGTTTTTTCATGCAAATTAGAATTATGTATTCTTTTTTTGGTGAACAAATATCAAGCATCTGTCGCAAATCTGTCACAAAATGACAAAGCTTTTTAACTATAATGAGATTACAAACGCATGCATACACACCTGCTGACCAAAATTGGGCTAAATTTACTATTTCTTGCTTGCTCAATGATTATATTCATCGAAAATTATTACAAGCAATCTGTAATTCTATCAACCGTAATGCACCACATTAGAAATGTAAATCATAAAATAATTATTATATTTTTAGACATGTTATGTAAAGTATTAAGAGCACTGTCAAAGGGAGTCTTGTAAATTGATTCTTTTGAGACAACTATACTCATGCTTTACTCTACCCATGAAGATACTGGTTACGAAAAACCGAAAACTGCCAGAATTGCATTCCTCGCCATTGTTTATACATCCGACCGTCACCGAAGATACAGATAGGTAGAATACACACTGTTTAAACAGCATTTAGTGGTTTGCTGCTCTTGTCCCGAGATTGCCCAAAAATTTAAAAACATTGAATAACTGGTCCTGGTTTTGGAGAATAAATAAAAGCAGAGGCTATTTTAGATAAATTAAAATGTCATCCGAATCCTGACTAGCTGACGATCCTTATTCAAAATGTTTTCTTGTAGTAACTTGAATTATTATCTCAGACACATATCTCATGAATTATTATCTCAGACACATATCTCATGAATTATTATCTCAGACACATATCTCATGAATTATTATCTCAGACAGATCTTTCTGTGATGTTGATTGAATCACGATGCTAAGCTAATTACGCAAAGACAGAAAACTAATAACGACGCAGTTTCCATACAAAAAATCAACAGGATTGGCTACCGTAATTGTGTATATATAGTAGGATTCAATACTCTAAGCTTTTACAGATTTTTTCAGGAGAGTCGATCAACAGTTTTGTATCATAATCACTGTACGTAATACAAATAGAAGTTAAAGTGTCGACGTGTAAAAGAATTTTCAATCATTTCATAAGTAATACTATGAGTATTAAGACTATTTTCATTTGATTAAAAAGCATCCATTAATTTCAACAACAAACTATAAAAATGAAATATATTATACAAGAGTACGTTTTAAATCAATATTTTAAAGTAGTTTTACTGCATGCATCGTAAAGATCATCTGTCTTAAAGATTAATTCGAATATTCGAATAACCTTGACTTACAACAGTTACTCTGGCAACAAGACAATGATGACTAAAACAATCCAAGACCTCTTAAAAGGAAATAGCAATATTTTTATTCACCGATTTTAACATATTACCTACTGAAATCAAAGAAACCAAGAAAATTGTGACTACTGTATTTTATGTGTAGATTTGGAAACTAAACGAGACTTACCTGTAAGTTGAAGTTTCATTGTAAGTCTATAAGCTATTTAACAAAGAAAAAGGCGTCACATGAGATATGCGCACGCAGATCAAGTGTCTAGTCTTTAACGCTGCGAGTGATACCAACATAACGAAAAATCCCATAAAGTGGGAAAACAAACCAAGTTGGTCTTTATGGTTTTAATGTGGGTTGGTGACTTAGTTTCCTTGTCCAATAACTCTTAGAATTACAATAAAACTTCAACTTACAGGTAAGTTTCGTTTAATTTTTAAATTCTATTTTATCATTGGACTACGTCACTAATGAGTTACGTGAGATATTCAAAGATATTCATGAGCATACGTGATAGTAACAAACCATATAGAATCAATATATTCTGGAAAAAACAGCTCGCATGCAATGAATAACAATAACACGATATTTGCCAACATATGGTCCTGTGCAAAGGAGTGTAAAAACGCTTGCCCAAAATTGCTTTTATTTTGCAGGGGCCTGTTATAAAATCAATTAAACGTAGATGCATTTGTTCATCTAGCGCTTGCAAGACTGTTGCAATATCGACATTACTCCGTTTTGCTGCCGACGACAAGGTGCCTCTGGTGCTGTATCCCGTGAAGTCAGTAATAACAGCCCTTTTCAAGATGTCTTTAAGCCACCTTGATAGAGTATTAGATGTTACGGCTTTATGTGGCTTTTAATAACTAATCAATAATTGTGTATTTTTACTGTCACGTACGTCCCTTGTTTCTTTAAAATATTCTTTCAATACTGTGACGGGACAAAGTTCAACGTTTGGGGGGTGGAGGATTTTATCGCCAAAGGAGACTAATGATTGCCAGAGGCATAGTTATACTTTTAATGTTAAGTTTTTTAGGTTGAGGGGCTACACATAAGTTAGAGTAAAAATTCAATGAGTACGTACATCCCAAATATGTTTGTGTTCTGGTAGGCTTGGTCTTGTTTCAAAACACCCTTCATAAAACGTCGTACACAAAGGTGCTACCCAAATGATAAGTTTTTTCCAGATAGCAACTGCAGAGAGCACTTCGTGCCGTGTTTAATCCATTACACACCATGCCTACCTGAAACAGTTCTGCAAGAAAATTTATACCTTCTGCCAAGGACGGTAAAGCAGGTTAGCTTCCTTTTGATCGCAGTACAATTTCCATTTTCATAGGACTCCCTCATATTGTTTTCTCGTTTTGATCTCCATGCTGCTTCTATAATACATTGGCTTAAATCTTGCAGAGCCCGGACTTTTCAAAAGTTTGCGCAAATTTGATTGGTAATTACAGTGGTGTAACAACGGGCTCTAGATAGTTAGTTAATTTTTTCTCGACACAGATGTTGCTATTTCTATGCAAAACGTTTTGCTTTTTTCACTGTACGTAAATACTGGTAGCATTGCTGCTAGGTTTTGTGACTTTCATTCAAAATCTTTGTTTATATCGGCAAACATGCAAATATGCCTCAGTAATTATGTCCACTTGGAAAGGGGTTTTCAAAAAATTGTTTTAATTATTATGCTCGTCTTATCTAAGAGTTCTTTTATGTGAAAACAAAGTTAAAATGTTTGAACTGTTAGAATAGAAAATCAAAGCACACTGTACACACCAGGACAAAAAAATCATCATGCAGACTAAGGAGTTTTCATTGGTGAGTAAAGAAACATTTATTAACCGATAATTATAATGAGCAGAGAAAAATGAACTTGACAAATCGAAATTAGCAAAACTATCAAACAGTCGAGTTTCTTATTCAAAAAGTTTGTTGACATTAACCTGTAAATGGTATGAGTGCCTATATTGATGAGAATTGGAGCAATGGCAGTTTAGCGACATGATATTAAAGCTTGATGAGAACAGTCAAGCTGTTTGCAAAGATATTCGCCATTTTCAAATAAGAAATTTGATAAACTTTGTATTGAATGGGGAAGATTTTTGCCTTACGAATACATTCCATAATAAACGCACGCCAAAGACTTTGTAACAAAACTGGTTTGCTCTTGACTATTTGTGCTCAACATTAAGTAACTCGAGAATATTCCTTAACCGCTGAAACGTGTTTTCGCCGTTGCTGTTTGTCGTTATTTAAAGTTTTGAATAAAGAACAGTTAAATTTTGAAAATATAGGCAAATGTCCTTATGCCATCGGTAAGAAAAATGCTTATTTTCATCTTAAACTACGATATCTTTTAGTTAATTTTGAATGATTACTTTTTTGAGACCATTCATCATTGTAGAGAATACTCATTTAACTCCATAAACAGTTAATACTGTTTAAACAGAAAATATTTAAACGTTTCACGTGATGATGAAGTCACGAAGATTTGCGTACAGGGAAAATGTGTCGACAATGATGCGCGTAAGAATGGTGTGTTAAGGCTTTCAGCAGAACATAAGACAAGCGGGTTGCAAAAAACCTGGCCCAGATATATTACCAATGAAAAAAGCGTATGTATAATAATTTCCAGACTGTTCCTATACTTAAAAGATGATGTCCATTAATGATACGAATTTTGGATAACTTGTTCCTTGAAAACGTATAAATATCAGAAAACGTTTTCGCACAAGAATATAAAATGTAAAAAAAATGAACACATCGAAGACCCCATTAGTTTTTCACGCACGATCACAAGTTTAAACTCATAAAATATTATTAAAAGACAACCACGAGATCGCTGTAATTTAAAGAACTATACGCATGTGTTGCAGACAAAGATAACACTATTCAAGCAATCCACAACTCACTTTCTCTTCCACAATCTACGTATGTTAAAGAAAGCAGCACCAATGGTAGCTTTCCAATGTACATGTTATATACAGATTTTGGTTTGGATTGAAATCAATCGGAATAAATGATTAACGATCAATTATGATTGACATAAACTTTCAATAAAATTGAAATTGAATGAAATGTACATTCTTCTTCTAGTTCATCAGAGGAAGAACACTTTGAAACATCATCCTTCTCCACCCTGAGGTAAGAATTAGAAATTACCACTTCGACCATTGTCATGTAATTTTTGCCATAACAGTGTCAGTCTTCACAGGTTGATGTATCTAAATTTTGGCAAAAACACATCTTATTTTGGAGAATTATCTTTGATTGAGTAAGTCCTAAAGTAAATCACTATTACCACATTTGATTTGATTATGTTGGAAAGTGAAATTGCACTTGAAGTATATTTCTCAATCATTACAGCAGTTGGACAGTTGAAATCACTTATACTAGCACAAGTTCTCTTCTAAACACAGCTCTCTGCTCCTTCCACTACGTACATAAATCATATCATCCTTTTATAGAAACTGGAACAGCAGATGCACTCTTCCAAACACAACTTACAGGACAATAACTCACAACACTACTCTCTAACTTATACCCTATCACCCTACAAATCAATGTACCAGTACATTGACCAGGACAGAACACACTCTCTGCCAAACACAATTCTGTGTACAATAACACAAATCGAACTTTGCTATATCACACATATAATCCTTATCCATTGATCTACATGTTTTCATGCATGTGATAATCTCCACCTCTAGCAATTTAAACATGAATCAATGACAGACGTCGTACAAAGTTTCTGAAGTTTCTACAACATTAATGGACATTACATGTTTGTAAATATAGATCGTCCAGGTTGGTATAGTTCTGAGAAGGACTGTTTTTGTTGTTTGTTCTAAGTTCTAGGTAACAAACCTCCCTGAACAGATCACAGCAATTATCGGCACCTTACAAACGACTTATTCACAATACAAACAAACGGTCGACTAACAACATTACACTTCACACTAATTCACAATGACAATACACAATTGACACCAACACATTACAACTAAAACATCACACCTAAATCACACATGACAACTAAAAATAAAAATATTTCACTTCACACTAATTCACAATGACAATACACATTTCCTGTACACACAATACAATGACGTAAGAACCAGATAACAAATACGGATAACCTGACGTTTACTCCTCATTTGACTCTGAAGATGACTACCGCTAAGGTTGTCGAAACGTCAGGCAACAACAACAAAACTATACCAACCTGGACGATCTACATTTACAAACACGTAACGGTACTCCGGGTTCAAACCATTTACTTTATTAATGGACATTGATGACGATGAATGTTATAGAAAGTTCTCACCGCTGAAGAAATGTAAATCCATTGCATTGCCTTTCTGATCTTGTCATTTAAACAAGGCCTGTCCTCAAGATTCCAATGTGTGAATTCAGAAAATCTTTTTATAGCTCGAAAAGATCTATCCTAAAAATTAAGTTTTGTAATAGTTTCAATATTAGCTAAAAAGCAATAAAATTATAAGATACACCAAACACACATTGTGTGAAACTTATAAAAAAATTATAATTATATTAATGAAATGTTTTGACAAAATATATTGTTCACTAAAATCGAAGGCTCACCTGGTTATCAGTGACAGGTTTACGATTCTCCCTGAGAAGATAGCCTGAAATAAAAAACTTACACAGATTCATTTCATTCCTGTGAACCAAAAAGGATAACAGATCTTGAAAAGGTTACTACTAAGTAAAAGTCATTGGCAAAATTGTAAAAGTCAAGACAACAAGAAGATCGATAATTGGGGAGAGAGCAATATTTATATAAGCATGTTATATCGTTTTAAAACAATGGATTTCAAAAGAGCTTAACACTTCCTATCATGAATATATGAATATTCCTCCTCCCAATCATTGATCTTCCTAGGCCCTTGGTAAGAATACTTATCTTGTCTACTTAGTAAGTGTACTAAGTTCATGGCATCAATATTAATTGAGGGAAACCATATAATCTGTGAAGGGCTGATTTCTCTAGAAAGTGAAATTGTTTTGAAAAAAAATTTACCCAGGAATAGCAGAATATAAGAATGTGGTCCCCCTCGTTAAAATGGGATTGATGCCAATGACTAAGTTCATCAACTACATACATGTAAAAGTAACATGGTCACCAAATCTACAAAGTTGACTACCTAAAGAAGACCTGGTGGATACTAAGTAAACAACTTTGACTATATTAGGGCATGATTAACCTCTGAAATTGTGAAACCAAAGCAAAACTAAATTGCAGTGCCCTATGATATCATGATTTTATATATCTGCAACTGCAAGCAATGTAAGAAAGTTTAATTTACAAACTTATAGCTCTTTAAAGTTGGGTTGAGTTTTTGAAGACCCAAATCAAAAGGCATCTGCTAACTTTTAAAAAATGCACTTAACTGCTTGTACTTTCCCATGCAAACCCAAGTGTGTGCTAGAGAGCCATGTTCTCAAATAAGGGCTTCTTTTGATACATACATAATGCTGAAAAATGAAGCTTTCACTGGTGATTATTTGTAAGCATTTAATGTCATTGATATGCTATTGAGTCAACATATGTACAAAAGGTCACCTCCTGTGATTTTTGACAAGCTGAACACTTTTGTCATATTGCCACATTTGTTCTTTATCAAAAACTTTGAAGAGCAGCATTAACATAGCATGACCAAATTTATAGGCTGCCTAACTTAGTGACCTCAAAATCACTTGAGATGGCCTCTTCCACGGATATGCTGCCTCAACATTGGGAGCCACAGAGACTAGGTACACAGGCCACTTGATGAGTAACATACATAAAGATCATAAATGTTTATGTGTTTATATGGTACAGTAATATGCAGCTGTTCCAAAGGTACAATGAGTGAAGTTATTTTTTTCACATACACAACAAAGCAAAAAATAATAAAAAGGTACCAAGCATGTTAATATAGTACCAAAGCAAATAATAAAGGTACTAAGTATGTCAATACAGTTTAATCAACATTATCTTACCACTGTATCCATCTGGTATAGCAACTTTCTCACCCATTAACATGCGGCCACGAAATGAAACTTTAAGTAAAAATTAAAGGAAGTTAAGCTGGAATGGTTAGGCTAAGCAACACTACACACAGACTCATATTACAGGGAGGTGAATCCTGGGGAGTGGTTTGAGAAGATTTTAAGTGAACAGCTTTTTTACTAAAAACATATTCACTCAATTTGTCTGGAAAGTGTTTTCAGGATAGTTGACTTTTTAGAAAATTCAAATGCATCCTACATACTTCATCCCAGCAACTACTTCATACCAAAAGTTACACAATTGGTAGGTACAAAATACTTAATCCTAACACGGTTTTATATACACATGAAAACATGTGACTTGGACAAGATTTGAAATCGCACCTTTGGATATTAGTCCGACGCTCTACATGTTGAGCTACCTTGCCCACAGGGTTTGGAGACAAGTCAAATTTCTTTTAAACTGCATATGGATAAGAGATTCTCGCCAAAATAGCAGTTTTCCTGGATGGCACAATGTTTTGACTTTATGTATATTCTCTAATGATGGCCTTGGAATTACTGTGGGCTTGATAGCTCAACAGGTAGAGCAGCCGACTAGTATCCTGAAGGGGCAAGTTCCAATTTCCTCCAGTCACATGTGCATATAAAACTGTGTTAGGATCAATATTATGTATATTCTCTAATGATGGCTTTGGTAGGTACAACAATTCAGAAAAGGACATTCAAATTCTAAAGTAACTATGTGGTTACATCTAGCACACCTATGTATCACACATATGGATTGTCTACAGAAAAATTGATTAGGGAAGGTACGAATGAACATGCAACTTTACTACTAAAGAAGGGGAACTGAACTATGGATGATTTTGTTGGGAGGAGGCCCTAGTTTTGTGAGATGTCGTTTGGTCTAACCAGTCTAGTTTGGATGTAGATTTTGGTGGCTCCTTTGTGCGCCTCGCTGTCCCTTCAAATGTCAGAGTTTAGGTGGGTTTGTATAAACTCCCAGAAATGTGTAGTTTGACAGTTGTTTCAGCTCAATTGGTTGGTATCAGGGAAATTTGCACTCCCCTGCCCCCCTTCAAATCAAGGCTAGTCTAGTGGGAGGGTTGGGAGAAGTTATTTCACTCACACTACCCACCCGCTCAAGAAAGTCAACATTCCGCTAGCTGAAGTTTTCAAAATAAAATATTTAATGCAAATCATCAAACCTTTCTTCATTCCTTTCCATCATCCTTAATACAACTTTGAAAATATTCGTCGACTTCAGCTTCGCCATTGTGCTCTATTTTGCACGGTAAAAGATGCACAGTTGGTTTTTCTGTAGCATCCTTAGTGCAAGAGGTTAAAATGTCTATCTTTGACATAAATCACGATTTATTGACGCTGAGCAAAAAGTAATTTTTTACAAATTAAACAACGAAAACACGACTTGCGACTGTGTGCGACTGAATATAGGGAATATAGGCAAGTAGCTTGCCGCAAGTTGTCATCCGTCAACAGGCGATTGAAATGCCGCGATATCCGTTTTCTCATTGGTCATGTATCAAGTGAAGTTTAGAGTCTAGAGGACACCAGTTGCTGACATAGAACAGAATAGACATCTAACAGAAGGTCCACTCGGCTAAAATCGAGGCATATTTTTTCACTACGCACGCAACAAGATACTTTCACAAAATCAATATGGAATAGTATTGCACCAGAATGCTATTTTACTCATGGTTCACGTTTAAAGCAAACGTATAACGAAATTTTTACAAATAATTATCATATTGCAAAGAAGATAAGTTTGCAAGCTTTTGTTGTGCACAATGATAATTTTCGTAAAACATCTATATTTTCTATTGCGATCTAGTGGAAGTATCTTGCTGGAAGGCGTGTCTGCTAAGAATTTGGTTCAGAATAGCGGGGCACATAAACATCAGAGGTTCCAACACGAGTGGACATTCTGTTCAGATATCTATTCTGTGCCCATTGCTTGGATTTAATTAAAATTTAGAAGGCCTGGACATAACCCTAACCATTATTCACATAATACCCATAAAGCTTTCTTCTATAACGTTGCTTTTGCTTTTACACTCGAGACTCGAGAGTGGAAATGGCGTTTTGCAGTGTTGTTGTTGATTTGCATTTCCCCGCCATTACTGCTATATGTGCCCACAATCTAACGTTTAACGTAAAATGGCTACTGGTCTGCTACTGGTGCAGGCTAAACTGCATTCTACTTATATCAGTCATGAAATAAAGAAATGTCAATTTTCTCTGAGCAATCTCTTGCATTTCTCGAACTTTTGATTGAAGTGGCGATTAAAAAATGCAATGCAAGAATAAAACAAAATCGTTCGAAATTGCAACAAAATGCACTGATATACGCTGCCTAGCATTGGCTATAAGCTATGACGAGAGAGTGTTGGCTGAATTTAAAATCGGCTTGACAGTCAGTAAATATAACACTTCATAAACAGCATTTTATAAACACAGGCGCTGATTGGTTGTCACATCTGAAAGTTGCATGTTTGCGCGGGAAATGTAATTAAAATCAATAAACTTCGCCAACGAATTTCTCGTTTTCTCAAACTTGCCGAGTGTTTCGATAACTCTTAAATACCTTTCTCGTAATTTTGTAAGTATAGTGCTAATGTTTCGTTCATGCTTTTCTTAAACCCCACGCAAAAATCTGCTTCAGTTGTCGGGGTCGGCCTATCTATCTGTCAATAGAAAGTATAAAAATTACCCCCTTTGAGACACCTTGAGTCTACACAATGTAAAAAAAACTTTCTGGAGTGGTATGATTAGCTATATAAAACTAAATGTTAGGTAATTTCAATTCAAAATTACTTGCAAGCCTGTAAGTTTGAAGGCAAAGAATTCATTCGTTCGGTTAAGTAGCTACTCCAGTCAAATATTTAGTCGGGCATTTTCTAGCAGAACAGTATTTCACTAAATATCAAGTTGATGTCTGCGTTGGTGAATGGACATTTTAAGAATTCACAAGAATGGGAGAGTCTTTTGATTTAACAGCTTGCTTCTGTTTTCTTTTTTTCTTCCATTGGTATACAAAGGTTCTCTCAACATTTGCCATTATTCCACGAATATTTTTAAGATCTTTTTGCTCAACCTATAACGATAAACTCCCTTTGGAAAAACACCAAAATTCGCTACGTTTGCAGATACTTTGCAAAACAGTAATTTCGACATGTACAATCTTTAATTTTACAGCCTTTTTCCCAATCGAAACGTGACATGAAACATACCGTCATATGATCAAAAGCGAAGCTCACGTTATGAGGCAGTCTTGAAGATTTACAGGGAAAAATATGTCGATTGCTGATGTGTGTTAAAATCGTGTACTCGGCTTTCATCAGTTCACTACATTTGATTGCTTCAGATACGGTACTACATAAGAGAGACACAAAGGTTTACAAACAGGAGTATGGACAATGAAATAGCAAGTTGAATATAAAAAGAGCAAGACATAGTTTGCCTCACTTATATTACCAATGAGCAGTTTCTTTCGCTCTGTAAAGCAGTTTATCATCGAATGTTGCCTCGTGAATGAGTAATGTCGCATTTTCACCTATAGCAACAAAAAGTAAATATTTCTTCCAATGATTGTGGCGAAAAGACTTGTCTTCGGAATTAATCTAGAGTTAACCAGTAGAATTTCCAGATATTCAGAGGACGGATAACGTGAAAGGAAACTGCCAACGCGAGTCCTTTATGATATATTTAACGAAAGACACATTGAAATTCGCGTTCGCAAAAAATAAATGTTATATAATTGAAAATAGGATAAATTTTTGAGATTAGCAAAAGCTCAGTCTTTGCGAAAAGATTTCGCTATTCACGATGGCTCTTGCCGAATGCCCAAACAAGGGGTGAAACAGGTTGCCTTCATTTCCTGGACAGGGAGACGGACATAGAACAGATTTCATTTTTATTGTTGCTCAAAAAAAGCATCTTCCAGTCGTAAGTAGCAAAACATATTTTGCTGCATCTAAACCTGTTATTAACTAAACGACTGCTCTTTATAAAACAAGCAACAACTTAATGAGATTGGGCAATATTTCGATAAGGCCATATCACCACAATAAAATTTTTCCTTTCGTTACTCGTGAAAAAAAATGATGCAGTAGAGAAATAGCGAAATAAAAAGAGAATGGATTTGTCGGTTTCTCCTAACCGGCATCAATTAACTGTTTACAAGGTCTTGTGTCAGCAGAATAAACGATTTTCCATCCATTGCGTTCAAGTACCAAACCATGAGAGTAATCACTATGTTTCGTAGGGACAACAGAAATCTGAAAAATAGTTAACTCGAATTCTGTATTGTGTGGTACGCCAAAGTCAATCAAACCTCGAGTACTTTTATCGAATATTCAAATATACATGGTGTTTAGAAATTTATCAACTTACAGAAGAAAATCCCAAAGAGCGACTAAATTGTTTGCCTTCTTTCTTCCCCAATCCTCTTTTCACCCACCAAAACTGAGTGAACCTAAAAAACAAATATTGTGAGCGACTAAACAACAAGGTTGCTATAAGTTAGTCATTTTAGAACACATGCACAAAAATACACGAATTTCGTTAAGAAATTTCGCTAATAGAACAAGGCCCAAACAAACTACTAATAATATGCTATGAGATATTTCTCAACTGTGACTGGTTGATTGCAATGCAGTTTATCTGTAATTGCTCAGTAGAAAAGTATAGTTGCACCATAAATACTGTAACCTGATTGGCTGAAAACAGTGAAAGCCAAACAAATTTTTCAATTCAAAAAATACATGGCGGTAGTTGTAAATAACCAAAGATTTCCACAATTGCAATCGTTTGAAATTCAAGAATTACAAAAGAATGCAAAGAATAAAACAAAGGAGCAAGTACGGTTTTGGGGAATGTTTTAACAGTTAGACCGCATAACGAAGCTATCTGAAGCTATAGAGAGTAACGAAACAAGATAGAGTTGGACGGTACAGGCAAACTATAACTCAAAGTAAACTGTTTTTAATCGTTCTTTGAACTCACGCTATTGGGCAGCAGTCTTTGAAATACTCACCCGTGCATGTTTATACGTAATTGCACTTGAAACTATACTATTACCTACACAAATCAATGCCATAGCTAGCCTCGATAATAGAGGAGGAGGTAATTCATATATGCATGTTAACATCCGCAGAAAAAAAAAATTCATTTACAGGAAAATTGGTCCACAATTATCGAGGTGGCTATGGAACTGATAAAAAGTCAAATGTCATTAGTGCTAACTTATAAAAAGAAATGAAAAAAAAACCCAAAAAAAAACACAGAAAGATAGAATTTTCACCTGAAGTTGAAAGTTTCACCACACAGCATTTCGAAATATCTTAAGTATAAATCCAAAGTTTCTGGACCAATAATTCTTACGAAACTTGAATCACCCTAGATATGACACAATTTACCTTCTAAAGTACCGGAAAATTTCAACCGTTACAACACACAAAGGTAATTTTGCAATTATTATAACAGCAAAGTTTGGCATAAAATTATTGCAAAATAAAAAGAAGACATGCAAAGCTGTAAAGTCATTCCTACAAGCTCACCATAATCTTCTTACGATGTCGTAAAATATTGACAAGACCCTAAAAATTGATAATTTATGATAAATATTCATGGTTTAACATGCATAAATGATTAAATATATTGATTGCGTCAGTAATGAACATATATTATAACAGGTTAGAGATTGGAGCTCAGCCAAAATACCTAAAACACATTTGATTTGTAAGATTTGATTCTTTCAAAACTGACAATTAACAGAGTTTATATGGCATTTAGATTTAAAATTACGCTATCAACAATAAACTTATTTGGACCGTGGACTAACCATAGACTGGTTTTAAACAATTAAGATGGTTTGTCTAAAATCGGTTTCGATTGAAGAAAATGAATTTTACAGGTTTCGTTTTACGTATCTTAGGTGAAAAGATTGAGCCAACGTGTTATGTGGAGTATTGTAAAACTAATAGCAGCAATAATATAAAAGTACGAACCTACCAAATGATGGTCAATATGCATATGGGAGACGAACACGGTACGGATTCGCTTTAGCATCGTGTTCACATCGTCTCCGTAATGATAAAACATCTGTCTCAACGTCCCTTCGCCACAGTCCATTAAAATGGACGTTTCATCACTGTGTAATAACGAAACAGTGATGCCAAAGTTGCATAAACAAAATTCTCAGTAAAGTAAAGGAACAGCGAAACGTGGAAGAGTTCACAGCTCACTCGTCCTGTTTACATATGTACAGTCTATGTTATAGCCAGCGTACAAATTTGGTCGTGGTATGTAAAATTTAGATTACATCATTTTCTTAGTAAGAAACACATATAACTTTACATAGCATAACAAAATTTCCGATCTGGCTACGTCAATGTTCACAATACAGTACCAGACACCATGAAAAATCTAGCAATCCAACAAAATATTTCAGTACAATAGGCTCACTATTCCATGTTGCAAGTATGAAATCCTTTCTCAATTGCAACCATTCTTTTTTCGATGCATTTGCAACGACATATCGTAGCTCTTACTATCACCTAAAGTGGTCCTCTATGTTTTATGTCCATCGCATGTTATTTATATAAAGCTAAGATTGTTTAAAGTAAACTTGTTTACTGAGTTAAGGTTTTTCCCTTACCTCAAATTCAACAAAATCGCGCTAGTATTGCGAAGATTTGATGAAATACGGGAACCAGTTCAAGGAAAACAACCTGAAAATCGTTGCTCAACGTAGAGCTTGCGAACACATTTGAACGACTTCCATTTGCCGACAGTACTTTTTCATTTACAGCTTTTACAGCCACCAAGTTTTGTTCAAAGCCTTCAAAGGTATTGGCCGAAAATTATACCTCAAAGTCGGAGCAGCAAAATGGACAGAACCCTCAGGAAAATCTTTAAAACCAGAATGAATTTTATCCATAAACAATGAATAGTACAGCGGCGGGAAAATGTTCACGTGAAGTTTATTTAACCTATCATAAACTTCATCAAAGACGGTGAAAGCTGGTCTTTCAACCACGTGATCATTCATCATAAGATGTTTCGTTTCTGGGTGAAACGTTGTCATCCAAGATTTGTATTCCATGGAATTTGCTATATCTTTTCCGGTCATGTGAATTACTATGTCCACGTGAGTGTGCAAATCACTTGAGAAGAAATCACGTGAGATGAAAGAAGATAATTTGTTGAGGACTTGTTTTGATGGACAATCTATGACAACAAATGATTGTCGATTGATCTAAATAGAACACAAAAAACCCTTTAGCACAAAAATTAAATACGTCAATTTAGTTACTATAAATTATTTTTGCAAGAGTTTATACTTGTATATTCAAACAATTTTAATCAACCTGCGGCATTATTGTCTAAAAGCACATAACTTCTTTAAAAGTTGTCTTTGAAATAGCCATATCATATAGAGTATAACAGAATATATGCGTAGATAGTTGAGGTTAACAACAGTTGGTAATGTTTGTCCTGATTAACCCTTTCTCTCCCAGTGTTGCCTTATGGCAACATCAAGGAAACCATACAAAACGTAAAGGACCAAAAAAACTTGGGAAGTACGTAAAGGGTTAAGGATTTAGCACTCTTTATGGGCAGGTTACATGAGAACTGGATAGGCTAGCATGTGTATGGTAATGTTTTTCTTCGGAACGTTACAAAAATTTCTTTAAGAGAAAAAAAACGATGATTTGCAACTAATAGATTAAAAAAAGTAAACAAAGTTGAATTTTCGCGAAGAAAATACAACCAACTTTTTATTAGGCTTAAAAAGTCACTCTCCAGTCGACAGGCTATCCAGGCTTCATGCAGCCTTACTCTGGAAAACTAAAACATAAAACACGGTAACTCAAACAGTGCAAAAACTCACAACATGTAGCTACTTCCTGCTGAGCGTTGTTCATTAAAACTTTCCATTTGATACACTAAGTTTAAAATTGGATAGTTAACTCACCTGTGTTCCACAAGGTAAATCAACAGAATATCCCATTTGACACTTTGACATAGCATTTCTCAAAACGTCCTGTGCCAGGCCAAGATTTTCTGCTACATCCATGCGAACTCTTCGTAGCGGTTCTTGTAATAAAAACGCGTAAGAAACGGCAAGATTTGGGAAAATCGTCCGACCGTTCTCTTGCGAACAATCGCTTGTAGCAAAGGCGAAAATTTGAAAATTATTATCACTCGCAATTTCCAGCCAATTTATTCGTTCCTCAATCTGGTGAAGTTTTACAAACTCGAACTTACTCATGTACTGGAAAGATTTCTGTATTGTTTGTAAGAATGCATCCAAATTCGGTGGACCGTAGACATCGACAAGTTTATCGACCGAAAAGCCATCATTCTGCGTCGCTAGAAGCATGTTCGTCAGACCACCAATGTGATTGATTGTTGAGCCAGTCATGAACATCTTGTCAAGTCCCTTTGATGGTAATCCACCCATGCGAAAATTCCTTAATGTATTTTCACCCGCATTAATGATGTATCTAAAAATAAATCACACTGAGTGACTGAGCAGTGGTTGACAGTAAGGGAGGTGAAGGGGAAGTCGCCTCCTATGTTCCTTTTTATGAAAAGGTGATAGAAAACGTGTTCTTCTGCAAGAACCTTTAATTTTGACGTAATTTTGGATTCAACCAAACATGAAATGATTACATTTGCTACAGTATACCACATATTTTGTTTATTTGCATCTTTTCATGATAGAGCAGATCAGAAGAATGGCTGGTAATTTAACATTTATTGAGATTTATTAATATTTAGTCATTTAGACTTGACTTATATCCCGAAATAAGCATTTAAGCCTTATTGTTCCAGTAAAAATTTAGATTATCATTTGACTCATTCTGCCGGTTGCCACCTCCCCCCCAAAAAAATCCTCAATGACTGACTCACTGACTGACTTACCAACTGACTGAATTACAAACTGACTGACTGACTTACCAACTGACTGACTGACTTACCAACTGGCTGACGGACTGACTTACCAACTGACTGACAGTATCGTGATGCCCACAAGATAATAAAAATTATTTATTTGGATAGCGAGAATATTTTGCCTGTATGTTTATGGGATACGACATTTCTTACAAAAACGGAGAGCAATTAATGTTTTTACTGGTCTCTTATTGTCATTCATTAAATGGAAAAAGGAACTTTAAGATTCATCATGAACTTATAAGAGTAAGTCAAAGGTTATGTTCTATCTGACCAAGGAATAAGAAAAGCCAACTAGTTATGTAATCCATACATGGATACTAGATGATAAGCAAGGATACCAAATTCCAAAACCCAGTTATCTATGTAGATACTTGAAAAAAAATTTTATTTCAGAACCTGCTTGAGCCATATATCCAGTGGCGTATCTAGAGGTCACACTGGTCGGGCCGACCAAAAATTTCCCCCAAAAGAAAGAATTTGTTCGAATAAAAATTCAAAATAAATGAGTTTGAATTTCAAAATAGTTTTAATCAATTTATTGCGGATGTTGAGAGGATAATCTGAATCTTTAAATAACGATTTTGGTTTAATTAAACTCAAAATTTGCATTTAATGAGAAGTTATGTAGCAACAGTGTGCCGTTCCATGCTTTCATTTAGTCGGGCTCTCAAAATTCAGCCCGACCATACAAAATATTTTATAGAAAAATATTCCTAATCTAATTGGCTAATGACTTCTGAGCATGCTCAAACTCTCAGATTTGAAGCATCTAGTCACGCTCATTTTCTAGAGCCCGACTTGAGCCTTCGACAGACCTTAAGTTTAGTGTGGGTGAAGTTAATAGCTGCATGTAAAGTCATGGCCACTAAAATGATGATGAAGTTAAGATCTTAACCTGAGACAGTAATTTTTATTTTGAGTTGTTAGAAAGTTATATGTTGTTTGTTTGCACTTTAAAATTTGTTCATTAAACTTCAATAAAGTACTTATGTTTTACTATATGTATGATTGAAAATCATGACATCATAGGGCTGGCTCTTCATAAAAAGCGTGACCAAAATTATTTGCTCGATGCCCTGCATATATGCCACTTCTTCTACAAAATGACCAACTTTTAAGGTTGCTCAATTCAAATACTTGCAAATGTCTTTACACTTACCGATGATAGTTTGTAAATATATATAAACCAGGAGAAGCATCAGACTGACCTGGCTGGACAACCTGGAGCCATACTGTATCAGAAGGAAATTGTGATGTGGTGTGAATCTTGCAAGAGTTCCACAGAGGACAGTGTATTTTGAGGAGGACACGGCATGACACCAAATTCTTGGCTGTATACAATGTTTGCTTAAACATTGTAATGCATTAATATTCTAAAGAATTAATTCCTATTTATTAATGATTACCTGGGGGAAATGAGTTCATTCATTATATAGGTTAAGAATAAAGCTACCGGTAAAGTCACCATGCAATCCGTTAACAATTAAGTCCGTATGCTACGAATGAAGTCTGTCTATAAGTTAGAAGCTTCAAGAGAAAAGAGTTTGCCCTTCGAAATTTAAAAGTCAGTCATATTTTAAAGGCAACAATAAGTACCAGTACATATTTTCGTAAAAGCATATTTTAAATCTTACGTCAAAATGAAAAACAAAAAATTAATCATACCTAAATGCCAGAGGCAAGAAATATAGAAAAACATTTCATGATAAATTTTGGCCACAAGATGGTCAGGCCAAGAGCCGAGTTTCTTCGGAATTGCAATACTTCATGTTGGAATAGTATTGCGAATTACTGCCTCTATTGAAATAGATACGTCTGCGTACATCTGGGTAGCCTCTAGCCTGCCAAATATATGGTCACAAAACGTAGTAAGTATGAAAATTTTATTGATTGTTAAAAGGTGCTTAGTGCTAAATGCTGATTGAAATAACGCAAAAACTGTTAAAATCATTTCTAAATTAGTCAAACGCTTTAACTTAGACTCATGTTACGCAGCCGAGTTTATATGCTCACATTGTACGAAGCAAAGTACCTGGAAAGTAACAATTCTCACAATATTTAACGAGAAGTTCATTATCAGTATCACTGAATGTTAAAGTGAAAACTATGTTTTGCTATAAATACTACATCATCAATAACTTCTGTTTCAAAACTGTCCGAGGGTCTGTTTATTTTGTCCCGGGCTGGCCCGGTAAGCGAGATGAATTTTTGATGTGTTTTATATGACGTTCATCTTGCTTGCCGAGAAGTTTTTCGCAGTCAATATCAAAGCTTTTATAAAACATCTTTTACTTATAATCAGACAGATTATCAATAAAATGCTCCATTATCTTTGTATCGCAGCGAAAGTTCTTTCTTTTAACCATTCTCGTGTCTATTTTGCTCACTTTTACACGTGCACGAATTTTACCATTTTAATATGTTATCACACGCAAGCCCAAATAGTTAAAATTTAGCTCGGCAAACGGACTAGTTCGGCAGTTATGTATACATTAGAAAAATTTCATCCCGGCAGACGAGATCTCGCCTGTGCTATGTGAGATCTCGCTAAGCAGACCAGTCCATGTCGTCATATAAACACAAAAGAATTTTAATATATTATATACTACGTAAGGAGATCTTGCTTAACGGGCTATGTCGGTAAACGGCGGCTTGGCTTCCATACAAACAAGCCGTGAGACGGTAAGATATATGGGGTTTGATACTCTGTGGGTGTGATACTCTATGGGATATGATACTCTATTGGGTATGATACTCTATGGGTATGACACTGTATGGGGTATGATACTCTGTGGGGTATGATACTCTATGGGGTATGATACTCTTTGGGGTATGATACTCTGTGCGTTATGATACTCTACGGGGTATGAGACTCTATGGGGTATGATTTATATTTATTTACAAGTATGTGACGCTTTTATTACTATTTTGGGGGGAAAAGAGACGTTCTGTTGCTCTAGCAATTCGTTGTTGCCTCGTGCATTGCTAGTGATTGCAAATATTTAATCGCATTTTAGGTTACACATGATGTATAACAAAAAAATTGAAAAATAGGGAAACATGGTTAAAGTGATCACACAGACTACTCCTCACGTATCAACGTCTGCCAAATGAAAATTTAGAGTCTACCGATGATTTGACGCTCAAAGAATTCCGATAAAGTTTGGCGGGTGTTTAGATATAATGTTTCTTACTCTAAAGGTTCGTTAGTTGTTTGTAGAAGAATGAGTAAATGACACCACTTCTCGTTTACACATTGCTACATGCTTATATCTTTAGGCATAAGTCATAAAAACATTGTTTTGTAAAAATAAATCCGTCATTAAATGCTTTCCTAAGTATAAAATGTTTACCATTTTCAATTATGCACCAAAACGCGGAAGGAATTGAAGAGGACTGGTATCTAAAGTGCAGAGAAATATCACTGATTACACGATGCTCAACGATCAGTTTTCGTTTGACCACGTTTAGAAAGTGTGCTCACACCTCTCCGGAAAAAGTGACTTTTTGACGTGTGGTTGCACATCTGCGGAAAGAAATTCCGCTCCCGTGTAGTTAGCTCTGTTACTTTTTTACCGTTTTCAGACCGATCCAGAGTTGTGTAAACGTAATCTTAAAAACGAGGTTTCAACGTACATTTACTACAGTGACGACGAATAACAACTTACATAAACGCTATCACTTCAAATGAAAAAACTGCAGTCTATACATTACACGTCATGTCAAAAACCATGTCAAACCGACAATTTTAAAAAGTAGAGTAAAACAAATTTATCTGCATATTTTGAATCGTTGGATCGTATTCTGTATTATGAAGATATCATGTCTTTGGGAACTTGTTTTTATGCCATGACGAATCAAAAATGATGTAAGTCCAATTAATTGTAGTCAGCCAGTCTCTGGGTTAACATAAGCAGATAACGCTGGAAATTTTTGCATCCGAAAACTATAAGCATGTACACAATTCCACTGACTGCGTCAAACATTATAGATTATATTTTTTAGGTTTTCCTTCCTTTTATTAAATAGCAAAAACATATTTTTTGTTTCTTTCATTGAGTTCTATTAAAACTGGAGCAGCTAAGGAGACTAAAGCTATGATGTAAAAACCATGGCGGCAACGTAAAGTGCCTATTTCCCTGAATGACTGCTATGCAGAAAAAAATATTTTCGACATTTCCAGGTGTGATTTTATATTGATTTTCCAGTCTCCAGTCGAACTTTAATTGCAGTTAATTCTGTTCGTAAACAAAAAATATATTTTAAAAATGCCGAATCGTTGTACAATTGTTGGATGTTCTAACATTCACAAAAAGGAGCACATCGCTTTCACAAGTAAGATATTTGCTTATTTTGTTTGTTCATAAAAGATTGAAAAACGATTACACTTGAAAGTCACAAAATCCCATAAGGCTGTATTACAAACATTAATTGTCTTGAATACTGCATATACTGACGTTTTCCTGTGTTTTTGTTTCAATAATTTTCAACATATTTTTTATCCAATCAACGCATAAAATCATAAACCTATCAATATAATTTACAATTCACTGTGATAATTGAAATAAGTACGAGCAACTTATCTTATCTACATTAGACACTTCAACTTTGGTTTCAAAGAAGTCATCGACTTGCAGTCATTTTCATGTAACTTTCACCTGTACTCATGACGTCATAATATATGTAAACACTAGCTCAGGTAATTTTTCTTCAATAGATGTACGTTGTTGTCTTGACGTCAATGTAAAGTGGACTTTTGGTTACATCGTCAATAAACCTCAAAACAACTTTATTTTCATGTCATTTTCTCGACAGCATATTAAGTTTTTTGAATTTTGCGAAGTTGTATACGTATTGTTTCGATGTTTGTTAAACTGATTGATTACGTATTAAACTGCTTTCTTAAAAATGGAAATCAGTGAAACAATTGTAATAAATTTTCATACAACCAATTAATTGGTATTACGTAAGAATTTTTCTTACACGTTTAACAAGGATTATGAGCACCATTATTTCCATAAATTATACGCTGCTGCAGAAACGTGTTTTTGTTAATTCATTTAACATATAGGTAATCTGAATGCTGCAATATGTATCTATAGCCTACATTTATTCAAACATTTAACTACGTTCTGCTGTGTATCAAATATACTAAATTACTGCAGAGCGATAGAAGATTAGGATATTCACTGCTGTGTCTGCTTTCCGTAGTATTACAAAAGTCATGCATAGATCATAGTTGCAGTTGTTTATTCTTTTTCACCAATAATAAAGTACCTAAATTTGTTCTTTTTTTTGCCTTAAGAGAAGATACAGTGGTGTTTAAAAACGGGAAGACATTCGACATGATTTACTTTAATTATGAACATATATTAGTGTATGTTTAAAGTGTAATACATTGCATGCACTTGCTTTCTTTTTTAATTTGCTTTGTATTTGTGTGGTTGGATATTCTTCAATGCTTTCATTTAAAGCAGTCTGAATAAAATTTGACGAGGTTGTTTTTAAATTTTTTTGGGGGAAATTTGAAGTACATGCAACCAACTCAATTTCCTGATAACATATACATAGCAATCGATGATTCAACCATGTTGATTATGATGATTTTTATAGTCAAGTGCTTAATTGGTTTGCTTATGATCAAAATATGGAGCTAAATTACAGTATGTATACAAAACATAACGTCGAGAATCCTTAGATGACAGATTTACATTACATGGGACGATGATTCCAATGTCCACATTCTGCGTCATTATACTTTAATTTCATAAAGAGTCATTGTCTAACACTTTTTTTATAGGGCATGCGGCACGTGCATTAATGTACGACGTGTTGATAATGCTGAAAAAACACTGAGAATTTGTTAATTAAGTTTTTAGTTTATTAAATACTTAAAGTTGATGACGCCGTATTGGTTTGGTAGTTTTAACGAAGTTTTGAGGTATTTCAATTGTACAAATTGGTATAGTAGTAAGTTTTGGTAAGGAAATACAAAATTAAGCGCTTTTAGACAAGCATTCGATTTCAATGCAAAAGAAAAATTTACTTACTTCATTTTACAGTCTTCTAATTCTAAATTTTATTTATAATTGCTATACTCGACTCCATATCTTCTCTAACTGAATGATTGCAATACTGTAACAGTTTCTGGTTATAACTGTTATTGTGAACAAATGTGTACAAATAAGTGAATAATAAATGTCCCAACTGTAACGATATTTAGAGGGATCTCGATGCTGAAACCTTTGGTAAAAAGGCTTTTCGGAGTATAGCATCTGCAAACCTTGTACGCCTACAACGCTAAGGTTACATTGCTCAATACGCATTAAAGAAAATGTTACAAAATAACTCAAAACAAATTCAAATGCTGATGACTACGAAATTATTTCCATTCCTATTATTTCTGATTTCATTGAACTTTCAAATCTGAATTATATGAGACTATACTTTGTACCTAAACACTTAACATTCATGTGACGTCCATAAAGTTTTCAGACGTTAGTATTATTTGTAATGATACATCATTGTAATGATAAAATATTCCAATAGGAAATTGTAAGCTTGTAATTTAAACGTTGATAATAACTATAATATGTTATAATTAAGTACGACAAAGCAACTGAAATAGTAAACACAGTTACTTAACGTCTTCTGTACTTTTTTCTTGCAATAATATGGTATATTGTATCGTCCACCAAATCCACACTGCAATCTTCGTTG